ATACCATATCACCGACTATTAATACAATGGCCGATCTATTTAGCTGTTTAAGCCTTTAATCGTACTTTCTATTGCCAGTGGCTACACTCGGCCATTTTACATAATCGTTCATAATATTTTGATCACCCGTCGGCTACTCTTAAGTATAACTAGTCGGCGGCAAGCCGCACTGGCCGATCTATGTAGCCACATATACTTATCATATCACAATGGTCAATTCATAATTATCCATAATTTCCACAATAACAAATTTCAAATATACCATAATGGCAATATATATTATTATAATTTGATAAATAATATCAATATTGGTCATAAAATGAAGCTCTGATTATTATGGGGTTCAAAAGAATAAATTTTGATTTCTAATTATATTTTATCACAATGAATGTGTCAATATTTCTTTTACTCAGAATTCGTGAGTATGTCCATTTCTTTTAGGCTTCAAAAAGTAATGCCACCCAAATAATGCTCATAAAATTTATTGGGAGTAATGAAAAAGATAAAATGTTCAGTGATAGCCCCAACTTGGAATTAAAAATTAAGAATCATGTTGCTACCTGACAAAGAAAATAATGATATTTTGTAACATTTATGACCAATACTATCCATGAACACATGGATATTAATTGCTCTATTAGCTTATGTGGGGTTTTGTATAAAGTGATTGCCAAGATTCTTGCATGTAGATTGAAGAGTTGTTTGAATGATTGCATTAGTTCTGTTCAGAATGCCTTTGTGCCAGGCAGGCAATTGCTGGACAATGTGGTTATTGCTCATGAGATTTTTCATTTTTTAAATAGAAACAGATCTGGTTCTATCTTTGTGAAATGGATTATGGCCCGTGTTGTTTCCTTCTCTTTTTCCTTTAATATTAATGGCAAGGTCAGTAGTTTTGTGACTCCTACTAAAGAAATTAGACAGGGTGATCCTCTATCACCCTATCTTTTCCTTATTATTTCTGAGGTTTTTTCTGCTCTTTTGGCTCATAAAATTAGCACATGATTGATCAGAGGGGTGAAAATTTCTCAAAAGGGGCCTATGATTTCTCATTTACTATTTGCAGATGATGCATTAGTTTTTGCAAAGCTGACTCTGAGAATATTGAGGCTATTTTGGATATTATGAACAAATACCAATCATTCACAAGGCAAAAAGTTAATCTTAGCAAGTCCTCTATGTTTTTTTAGTAAGAATTGCTCTGATTTGGTTAAATCTCAGATGTGTTCTAAACTTCGAGGGGTGGTGGTCAAGAGATCGTCCAAATACATGGGATTACCTTTGGGCATTTGTAGATCTAAAAAGGAAACCTTCCAGTTTGTGGTGGAAGCAGTTAGGAATAGAATAGAAAGCTGGAAAAATAAATTCTTATCTATTGCTGGCAGGGAAGTTTTGGTTAAAGTTGTCCTTAGTGCTCTTCCTGTCTTTGTCATGTCTTGCTTCATATTACCCTATTGGGGTGTGTAAAGATGTTTGCAGGCTCATCTCTCAATTTTGGTGGTCTAAAGGGGAAGAGCAGAATGCTGGGATTTATTGGAAGTCTTGGGACAAGATTACTGTTCTTAAAGATGCTGGAGGGCTGGGTTTTCATGATATTTTGTTATTTAATAAAGCTCTCATCATTAAGCAACTGTGGAGGGTAATCTCCCACCAAGATCTTCTGGTTTGTCAAGTTCTCAAGCATAGATATTTCCATTACATCTCTTTATTTGACTACAAGCCAAATCAAGGTGCATCATGGCTCTGGAATTATTGGGCTTCATTGATCCCACTTTTGAAAGACCATGTGGAAATCTCCGTTAGAAATGGGTTGTCCACTTGTCTGAATGACTACCACTGGGTGCCTGGGCTTAAGGGCAAAAAACCAAAATTGATTTCTCATATTGATGCTAATGAATTCAGAGTGAAAGATCTGATGTGTGGAGGAGGTAAAAGCTGGGATGAAAGGCTAATCATAGCCTTATTCAAACAAGAGGATGCTGAAGAAATTCTGAAAATAAAGGGGCTTAACCCTTTGAAGGATGATGTGTGGATCTGCTCACTGGTTAAGAAAGGGGTGTTCACTGTTAAAGCTATATACTCTATGCTCTTACAGACTAAAATGAGCTCTTTTTGTATAGCAGAAAGTAGTGCTCTTGCTGCAGGGAATCTTAAAGCTAGAAGAAGATGTTGGAGATTGAAAGTGATGGGAAAAATTAAACACTTTATATGAAGGTGCTGCAATAACATCTTACCAGTGCAATGCAATTTACTTAAAAGAGGAGCTTCGGTGGCCATTGAATGTCCTGCATGTGGTGAGGCAGAGAAAACACAAGAGCATGTTTCTTTCCAATGTAACAGAGCCATCCAAACCTGGAAATTAGCACCTATACAATGCAGCAGAGTCCAGGAGGAGAAAATGACCATGAAAGAGTGGTGGTGGTGGATTAGCTCAATGCCTTGTGATGAACCAGCAGAAGAAAGAATCCAACTTTCAACGTATATACTCTGGTGGTTATGGCGTGCCCGTAATTTATGGGTCTTTCAGAAAAAATGGCAACCGGAGGCTAGGATCATCAAGGCAACTTGCAGGGAATGGGCAGCTTTTACTAGCAGACATGAAGTTTGAGCATGAGTGCTTTACAGGACAAGGCTAGGTCTCGTGTCAGTGGTCTTGCTTCTGTTTGGCTTTCTTATGCTTTTCTTTAGTTTGTAAATGTTTCATGTGTTGAACTATGGATGTGTTTGTTTATGCCTGAGTTGTCACTAGTATGGGGTTGCAGATATGAGGATGGTTGGATTTAGTATTGGTGTAACCATTTGTGTAGTCTCTTATTTGGGTTAGGCGGCATGCTTGTATGCTCGGCCTCTCAGTATTGTACGATGTCAGAACTGCTGTATTTTTTCCAGTTATGATATAAGAGTTTTTCTGCCGGTTGAAAAAAAAAAAATTGTATTTCTAGTGTAAGTTCATAATTTCTTTTCCTCATATTATTATTGTTGTTATCATTGATATAATTTTCTATATCTAAATAGATGAATGTTCAAATAGTTTTTGCATATCCTGATTTCGAAAAACGTTGGCTATTCAACATAGGAAAAATATGAAGAAATTACGAAAGTGGATGATGAAAAAAAAAATCATTTTTTTATTTTTTTTATTTTTATTTATAAAGGCTCATCTGTTTGTGTTTAATTTCTGTGATTGTATAATTTTATGGCATGGAGTATTGTTTGAGGTAGACGACGATTTGTAATGTTTTGATTTCTGATACAGGCGATCGTCTATAAGACGCAACTGTAGAGCATACTCTCGTTATATTACAAATCGAGCTCCATAGGGCAGAGACTCGTGCTGATAACATATTATAAAACTAGAGGGAGAATAGAGAAAATGTATTCTCTTGGTACTATTTTCATTATAATTGAATTTCCTACTTATAAGAAAACTTTGGCACAATCGTAATAATACAATTATATCAGATACAAAATAGTCTTCACATACATTATTTATAATAAAATTGATGGTAGTAGTTATACCAACCAACCATATATATTTATAACACATCCAAAATTTTAAAAATTGCACGTAGTTTTTCCTTAAAAGTCGCACACATTTTTAAATTGACTTGAATATTTTTTCTAAATAATCGGATAAGGTCTGACATAAAATATTAAACTTCAAATTCAGAATCAATTTTTTTACAAAAAAATGTTGATATGGAGTAGATTTTTAGTTCCATTTAAATCAGTTGTTTCAAAATAAAAGATGCACATGTTTTTTAAAAATATTTTTTCATTATTAAACATTGTCATTATTTCGAAAAAAAAAAAAAAACTCCAGCCAAACGCACCTTTAATATTATAATTTCATCCAACGGCGTAAAGCAATGTCTCTGTCGATCTCAGCCGTTCGTTACTCAATTGAGTTGTATATATAATGAGCTCCAAACTATGCTGATGGCATCTTCTAACTCTAGGGTTCTGCAGCAGGGCAAATCAAGGTTTCTCAGGTAATATCCTCCTAATTTTTAGTCACGGGGAAATTTCATTTGTAGTTATATGTTTGTAGCTGCTATCCTGTTTCTTGGTGTGCGCATATTCCGTTTTTAGATTCACTGTTAAGAGTTTACATGCGGGCAAAGAGGTGAAGATTAGTGTAAATATCATTGCTTTTACCGAGATCTGTCGTTTGAGGTAATTTATATGTTGATCTGTGCTGCGTTGCCATTTGGTTTAGATTTGGCTGTAGTTTCCAATTGGCTTGTAAATGGACGAACATTGCGATCTTGTTCATGTTTTATTTAGTTTAAAATTATGTTTTTTGTGGTGTGTAGTTGACATTTCACTTGCCCTTGTTCATTTTCCTAGTTGATTTCTCTTGAGTCAAATTTTAGATGTTCGACATTGGTTGTAATATTTGTCTTGACTGTGATGGACGAGGTGATAACCCCATTTCATTGTGATGGTGCAAATGTACTCCCTTAAATAACCCGAGTAATCAAGGCTGGAGTCTCGAAAGGGCTCTTCTTGCCAATGCCTCTATATTGAGGTGTTGCAAAGATATACCAAATGAGCCCGAGAATTGGCATAGTAAAGTGCTGCCATAGGCCTTTGGTTTGGGGGCATTTGATTTCATCTGCAAGTATGTGGGTGTGTTCCTCTGTTTGTCGTGACTTGGTTTTGATTTTGTTTGAAGATTTTTTAACGACGGCAGAAAATAAATTGCTTTTAATTTGATAAAGTATTACATGGTTGAAAAAGTATTGACTATTTGATGATAATCTGCCCCATTATTTGCTAAAAAGGGAAGTGTGCTTTCTGAGTTGCCATGTGGATGGAGTAAGATTCATGGTGTAGGCATTTTGGATGTTTCTCATATGATTCTTCATGTATTAAATTCATGTAGTTGAGCACTTTATTGTGTGTCTAATAACCACGACATAAATGGTGGCCGCGTTCATCGTATATTATTGTGAGAAATGAATTAAAGTGTACTAGTCTTGCAGAATTAAAAAGTTATGTCTCACCGAAAGTTTGAGCACCCAAGACACGGATCTTTGGGATTTCTTCCAAGGAAAAGGGCCTCTCGTCACAGAGGAAAAGGTCTGTGTGATGGATGAATAAAATATGATGGTTTTATTTGAATGTGATCGTTTATCCTTGGACAGTCAATTTCTGTATATGGGATTGTTTGAGATTGCAATATGACTTAATAAGTCATTCATTTTTGTTTTCCTGTTTATTGCGAAGGTGAAAATTCACTGAGGACCAAAACTTTGAATTTTATTTAATTATTGCTAATTAGAGGCATGATACACAGGATGATTTTGCATGTTCTTGAAGTATAATGAAGTATCTTGTAGCTAATGACTAATTTACATTCCATGATCTCCTGATATTGTCATTTTCTGTAGTTCACTTTGCATTTAAACATGGTTATTCTATGCTTCCTTTATTTGCAATGTATATCAGTATCATCAACTTATTTATTATCTTCATTTTCATATGTATTTCTACAGTGAAGGCTTTCCCCAAAGATGACCCAACAAAAGCTTGTAGATTGACTGCTTTTCTTGGCTACAAAGCTGGGATGACACATATTGTACGCGAGGTTGAAAAACCTGGATCAAGTGAGGACCTGAAAATTCATTTTTCTAGACTATATCACTGTAAACTTGCGTTCAGAGTATTTGATAATTGGCTTCTGCATGCACTTTATTAAAATCGGCGTTGGGAGGCTTTGTATAATTATTTTGTTGAATTAGTACTGTGAATTAAACATACTTGTTTCATGTCACAGTTTGAACTGTTTGTCCCCATTGTATGATTATTTGTGTTGGTTTGGATATCTATGTTTGTGACTTTAGTTTGTCTGTTGGCACTAAACGCTGGTTTGTCCCCAAGAAACTTACTGCTAGCCTGTTATCCTGTCCAGAACTCCACAAGAAGGAGACATGTGAAGCAGTAACAATCATAGAAACACCACCAATGATCGTTGTTGGGGTTGTGGGGTATGTGAAGACACCACGTGGACTCCGTTGCCTGAATACTGTTTGGGCCCAACATCTCAGTGAGGAAGTGAAGAGGAGGTTTTATAAGAACTGGTGCAAGTCCAAAAAGAAGGCTTTCACCAAATACTCGAAGAAGTTCGACAGTGAAGAAGGGAAGAAGGATGTGCAAGATCAGTTGGAGAAAATGAAGAAATACTGCACTGTCATTCGTGTCTTAGCTCACACACAGGTCCCTTCTTCTTCTGGGTTATTCACTTTTATACAGTATATCCTGTCAGGCCCAATAAGTTAGTGTAGTGATGATATCTCAAAATATGTCAGAGAAAACAAAAACTTGTAGTCTTGTTATGTTTTTCAGAATTCATTACTAGACACAAAGATAATGCTGATTCTCTATTTTACTAGTAGGGGTCAAAATCGATAATGCTGACCCCTCTATTTTAGAAGTAGGGGTCAAAATCGGATCTTCTAGTGGGTTCATTTTTTTCCCAGGACTTATTATTTGTGTTGCATCTTAAATTTTTGTTATCATTGCATTTCAGATTCGTAAAATGAAAGGGCTTAAGCAGAAGAAAGCCCACCTGATGGAGATTCAAGTCAATGGCGGGGATGTTGCAAAGAAGGTTGATTTTGCTTACGGGTTTTTCGAAAAGCAGATTCCGGTCGAGGCAGTCTTCCAGAAGGATGAGATGATTGACATTATTGGGGTGACTAAAGGTAAGGGGTACGAGGGCGTTGTGACCCGTTGGGGTGTGACCCGTCTTCCCCGGAAGACCCACCGTGGACTCCGCAAGGTTGCCTGTATTGGTGCCTGGCATCCTGCTCGGGTTTCTTTCACTGTGGCTCGTGCTGGTCAGAACGGGTATCACCACAGGACTGAGGTGAACAAGAAGATATACAAACTGGGCAAGGCTGGGCAGGAATCTCATTCTGCCATGACTGAATTTGACAGGTCAGCAAACAAAATGTGATCTGAAATTCTCCTAAATCTTCTCTGTTGGTTGTTCGGCATTTTTGCATGATGAAAATTTTGTTTTGTGGCCCGAATTTGTAGTATTTAGTTTACTCGAGATAAAATTACAAGATATCCAAAGGTTTAATTTAGTTATTTCACAAAAAACCCATACTAAAACCCACTTTGTCCTTTAGTTTTACCAATACACTGTCTTGAGATGCAAATCTAGATAACATTTTAATAATTAAATTGGCCGAACCTTGATAGAAATTAAACATTTAATGTTTAGTGGAAACTGAGCTCATTTATAGTGTGTCTGCAGTTGGGGGTCTTTTTGGTGATCTGTGCTAACCTGTTATTATTGCATGTATTAGAACTGAGAAGGACATAACACCAATGGGAGGGTTCCCTCACTATGGGGTGGTGAAGGGAGACTATCTCTTGATAAAAGGCTGCTGTGTTGGACCAAAGAAGCGTGTCGTCACCTTGAGGCAGTCTCTGTTGAACCAGACTTCCAGGGTTGCCTTGGAGGATATCAAGCTCAAGTTCATCGACACATCCTCTAAGTTCGGCCATGGCCGCTTCCAGACAACCGATGAGAAGGCTAAATTTTTCGGCAGGCTCAAGGCCTGAGGATAACGACTCATTTTCTCTTGGACTGTTCTTCTTTCAAGTCTTTGAATTTTGAAACTGTTGAAACAAATGTTCTGAAAGTTTTGGAACCCTAAAGGGAGGTTTGTTATTTTCCTCATCCTAGTGCACCAATAATCTTGATACCATATTTTTGTTATTGTGTTGGTTAAAAATTCAGTTTGACCAGATAAAGAAGTTTGGTATTGCTTTTGCCCTAGGCTTAGCAATTATTGTTTTTTAATGAAAATATGCATATTTGTGAAAAAAAGTACTTCAACCTAATTATTAACCTGGGTTAAGAAATTTATTGCATTCCTACCAATTCGGTTACATTTATTTGTATATATGCATATATATAGGTATGAGGAAAAAAAAACCGACTGCGTCCTTAAATTGCGCAGATCGTGGGTTTTCAGTTCTCAGGTTTTTGAATAGGAAGTCTATTGTGTTTATATTCATTATATGTTCTTAGTTACTACCATAAGGAACATGATTTATTGGTATATATTCAGTATATGTTCTAAGTTACTACCATAAGGAATATGATTCTTTGGTAACTGATAGAGTTTCTTAAAATTGTGCTTTAGGTATATTTGCAAATAAAGTTGATCAATTTAGTTAATATGCAAATAAATACATATGAGTTGTAATTATGTAAATAAAAATGATAACTTTGGTGCATGCATAAGATTCTCAAAAACATTGTATATATAATATATAATATAGTTTAAGTACTTTGCCCCTCTTAAAATGTATATTAAAGTAAATAAATTCTCTTCCTTGAGAGTTTCACATGTGCACGCATCTCTTTCTTTGTTTTGCTTTAATAAGCTATATATAATACAATAAATTAAGTTAATTAAGTATGCTTTATACTATTAAATAAATAATTAAAGTAAACATAATGAAAGCTTACAAAAAACAAAGTTGGGTGTTTGCACGCAACTGATAAGACAAGGAGTCGAGTGAAAAGGTAGGCAAACGAAAAGAAAACACAGACATCACTAGATGGGATAAATATATTTATAAGAACTTTTATTTACATTTGTGTCTATGATATTATTTATTTATTCTTTACTTCCTATTGAGTTTTAAACAATTTATATTTAGGGTTTAATCAAGTTGAATGTATGAAGAATCCAGATTTTGATAATTCGGTGCAGAATATGTAATTTTCAGGCATAGTCGATAGTTTGAACAACATTTGACCAGTTTGACATTAGTCTCCATTATTGCTCTTTAAACTTAATAAATCTAGCAATGATGCTCAATACATTTTATGTTTTGCATCTTTTTTTTTTTTTTATTTTAATTCTCAAATATTTCTAGTAGTAGCCAAAATTGAAATATATGAATTTTTTAGTAATACTTTTTTAATCCAAAATTACAATATTTCTAGTAGTAGCGAAAATTGAAATATATGAACTTTTTAGTATTTTTTTTTTCAATTCAAAATTACAACTTTATGTCTTTGTTGTTAAATATATCTCTTTATCGAAAATTTTTTAGTTCCCCAATTCATTTTTCTAGATCCGCCGCTGATAGTATTAGCAGCAGCACAACGAAGGTCATTATGAGTAACACGATGAGCCCGAGAAAAACTACCTAACATACGAAATCATTCAACACAACAAACTCCACACGGTACAACTTATAAGCAAACAAGATCATGACTACTTTCTCCTCACCTCATGATAAGATTGAGAAGGGGATTACGGGCCCGTAACAGGCGGATTTTCAGGCCCGGCGGGGCTTGGAACTGGCGAAGAAGACGGGCTTTCCGAACGAGCGGCCGCCGTCCGGTCATCCACGACCATGCTGACCTTCATCCCCAGTGAACAATAGTTCGAAACGCCGCAAACGAAATAGAAAGCCCCTTTCCTCGACAATGTGAAAACGACCGGGCCGTCGACGAAGGACTCGACCGCGTGGGCCCCGCTGCAACTGTCGAATTCGCCCCTCGACACGAGGTTCACGTCGTAAAATCCCGAGTCGAAGTCGAAATAGAGCGTGTCCCCGAGGCGGAAGGAGTAGGACGAGGACCAATTCGAGTAGAAATCATTGGTTGGAGGGATCGACCAGATCGAGTCCCCAACTACGTGCTGCTGCGAACCGTACGCAACATCAATTGATGGTAGTATTATTAGTAACAGTATCATTATAATTATAGTTCCAACATTCATTTTCTATGGCCGTGTGTGTGTGTTGTTGACTTGTTGTCTGTGTTGTGTTGGGAGCAAATGATTGAATTTGAAACCGTAAAGATGAGCACGAAAATGGCGGTTACGAACCAGTTAAATTGATTTGAGAGGGAAAGTCACTCACGAACACATTAAAGGTGTTTCTAATTGAGATTGTTTTTTTTTTTTTCGTATGTATTATTTGAGAATTGTTTAAAAACAAAAATAAAAATTGCGTCACATTTACCAAAATATTATTGCTTCTAATTGGTTTGACCACATCTAAAACAAGTGCGTATCCCGTGCTATGCACGGACGAGTTTTTTACTTAAGACATTTTCTAGAACTTTATATTAAACAAAATTATTTATGTTTAATATCTCCTTATAAGAAAAAAAATATACAAAATATGAAAAATTATATAGTATTTATTTGAATATAATGAATATTCCCAACCAAAATAATATATAATAAAATTAATTATATGATCGTCATGCTTGTTGAACATATATATTTAATAATTATATATAGTATTTAGTTTGTTATATATATATTTAATAATTATGAGATATTAAAGATTAACATTAAAATTTATAATTCGGATATGAGATTAAAAATTGATATGTATAAAAAAAAGTATGTACCAAGAATCCACATAATATTAGATTTTTTCTAAACTTTAAAAGATTTTGTAGTTAAATAAATATGAACAAAAAAATGATCAATTAAGTTGAACTATCTGAATATAAAAAATAATTTATGAAATTAACATTATTTATTAAATATTTACAAATTTTTAGTTGTGACTATAAAATATGAGATTTGTAGATAAATAAATATAGAATAAAATAATATTTAACAGTTAAGTTGACATGACTTTTCGAAAGTTTTAAGAAAATTCAAACATATTATTCGTTAAATTGACTGGATTTTTGTAACTAAATTTACACGTTTGACCGGAAAAATTAAAAAAAAATGATTGATCAGACTTTTTAGAAGAAATATTTTCAATATTCTTTCTCATTATTGGCCAAATTTACTCGTTGTATTTAAGGAAATCATTGTCCATATATTTAGGAATTAAAGTTTACACAATATCTTTCACAAAATAACATTTTTTTTTTAAATTTTAAATTCAAATTTTCATCCAGCTGTCATTTAAAAAAAATAAATAAATTAAAAATAGTAATTATGAAAATTTGAAGCGGGAAGTATAATGTTATTTCAAGTAAAATTTCTTTCTCTATTATATAGTAATTATTTAATTTAATATTATTCAAAAAAATAATATGACATAAAAAAAGAATTCTTGTTAATATAATTTTTAAAATTTGTAATGATATATGAAGATATTAATAAAGCTTCAACATAGATTGATAAATTCGTACTGATCGATGATTAGGATTATTATTATTATTAAAAAATATGTAGTTTGTTAAGTAAGTTTTAAGATAAATAAGGAGATTGAATTCTTAAGAGACCCTCATGTTTTTAAACTTTTTTTATATTCTATAAATTGATTGACAAATAATTTCTAAAATAAGTTGATGAGATAAATTAAGTTGGTATGATAAATAAGGACAATAAATTATGAGAGATAGTGTACACCGTTTTTTTTTTT